AAGGAAAATAAATGAATGAATGAATGAATGAATGAATGAATGAATGAATGAATGAATGAATGAATGAATGCTTCTCAAATTGCAGAAATAAAATTGCAGAAATAAATAAAGACTAAATAACTAACTAAAGTTCCAACTTCAAGCTTTCCAGAGAAAGAAAAAAAGCTTGAGGTAACTAAACTGCAGCCAATGTTTTATATTATTCATTCATTCATTCATTTTCTTGTTGGCTTAGTCCCTTTATTACTCCGGGGTCACCACAGCAGAATGAATTGCCAACTTATCCAGCATATTTTTACACAGCAGATTCTCTTCCAGCCGCAGCCCATCTCTGTGAATCATTCATACACACACACACTACTGACAATTTAGCCTACCCAATTCACCTGTACCGCATGTCTTTGGACTGTGGGGGAAACCGGAGCACCCGGAGGAAACCCACGTGAACGCAGGGAGAACATGCAAACTCCACACAGAAACGTCAACTGAGCCGAGGATCGAACCAGCGACCCAGTGATCTTCTTGCTGTGAGTCGACAGCACTACCTACTGCGCCACTGCTTCGCCCTGTTATATATTATCGTGAAGTGAATTGATTCTAGACCAATGAGATGTCAGTGTGGGTGGAGCTACAGAACTCAAAATAAAATAAAGACACTGTGTTGTTGAGCTATTAGTTATTTTGACTCAATAACAGTAGAGGGCTACAAAACACGCTACTGGCTTCTTTACTTTTCACAGAAACTTCAATAAAGTAAGCACACAAAACACACACACACACACACACACACACACACACACACACACACACACACACACACACACACACACACACATTTCATGCCATTGTTGAGAGTTCAATGAAGCTGTATGTTTGTGTGCAGGTCGAGCACTGTCATTACAGCAGCCGCTCTCTGAAGAACAACATTCAGACAGATTCAGAGAATTTCTCTTTTCTTCTGCTCTTTTTTTTTTGCTTAAGTGGACTCATTATGTCATTAAGTCCTCCTGAAAGTGAACTGTGCAGTGTAATGTGTACAGAGATTGCCATGAGGGCTTTGCTTCGAGTCTTTCAGCAGGGTAAGAAATAGATAAATGTGTGTGTGTGTGTGTGTGTGTGTGTGTGTGTGTGTGTGTGTGTGTGTGTGTGCGTGCGTGTGTGTGTGTGTGTTTGTGTATTGAGACGTTGATGGCTTAATTTCATAGTTCAAACACAGCACCTGAAAACAAACAGATTTTTATGGTGTATTTCAGAGCTAATCTGAAAGCATTTATGGGCTCTTTCTCTAGTAAGCTGTCGCTGAAGGGTGAATAGGGGGAGGTTTCGGTTTAATGTGCTTTTCTAAAAATAAAAGACACACTGTAAGTGTTTTAAGGTAGCGTGGGGCGTTCTGGAGGTCAGTTGTGCACACACACACACTCACCCCTGATGAAGGGTACGCCGTCCAGCCGAGCTCTGCTGTCGCGGTCCTGGTGTCCATTAATGTTTCTGAAAAGCAAAAGAGAAGAGACGTTTAGAAAGAATCATGGATAGTAAAACTAATAATAACTAATCGTAATAACAAGAAGAACAACAATATTAATGATATAAAAAACATAATAATAATAATAATAATAATAATAATAATAATAATAATAATAATAATAATAATAACAATAATATAAAACATAATAATAATAACAATAATAATAATAATAATAATAATAACATAAAACGTAATAATAATAATATTAATTATAACAATAATATAAAACATAATAATAATAATAATAATAATAATAATAATAATAATAATAATAATAATAATAATAATAATAATAATAATAACAACAATAATATAAAACATAATAATAATAATAATAATAATAATAATAATAATAACATAAAACGTAATAATAATAATATTAATAATAACAATAATATAAAACATAATAATAATAATAATAAAAATAATAATAGTATTATTAATAATAATAATAATAATATAAAACATAATAATAATAATAATAATAATAATAATAATAATAATAATAATAATAATAATAGCAACAACAACAACAACAACAACAACAACCACTGCAAAAATACTATTATAAAATGATTATTTTTATATTATTATTATCCATTAATAATTATTATTAAATTAAATATTATTATTAGTCCATTAATACACTAAAAACTATTGAATGCACAAATGATTAAAACAAACAAACAAACAAAATCATAAATTAAAAACTTTATATTTGCAAGTATAACTGCAAGGACAGTGGTGGTGAAATTTATTTTGATATTTTACATTTGTAAGTGACTTTTGTTAAAGTCTCTGTTTAAACCAAGTACTAATTTGCAAAAAACTCTATAATGGACATCGTTGGCAGGACAACTACTAGAGAATTTTACAGATTCTGAAAAGAAAAAAAAAAAAAAAAGAAATACGAACAGTGTCCTGCTGGTGTAGCATCCTGAAGCCACTGCTCTACAACACAGACTCTCAGTGGCTCTTTCAGCCATGATGCTCTGTGTTTCTAAAGACAGATGCAGGATAAGCTGTCTGTGTCCTTTAAGTGTCCAGCTCTTGTCTGAGCTTATCAGGAGAGATATCACTGACCGGCCCAGAGAATAATCCACACAAACACAGACTCCAGCAAACACTGATAAGATGACTGAAGATGATAGAAGCCCTGCACTGACACCTCACTGCACCATCACTTACATTCCAGACAGAAGATGCTACTGCTATTTCTGTTCCTCAATTAGTGGTGTGTAATAATTACTTATTAAACACCCGACATCACCTGAACAGACAATTTTCAATAAATCGATCAATCGATCGATCAATCAATCGATCAATCGCTCAATCAATCAATCAATCGCTCAATCAATCAATCAATCAATCAATCAATCAAAAAAAAAAAAAAAAATATATATATATATATATATATATATATATATATATATATATATATATATATATATATATATATATATATA